TGACAAAGTAGTAAGAACACCTAGATTGAACCAAGAGGATCTGAAAAACCTGAACAGATCAATATCAGTTTTATGAAAGCAGTAATAAAAAGCCTTCCAACAAAGAAAAGCCCAAAACCAGATGAGTTCTCATCTGAGTTCTACCAAACCTTTAAAGAACTAATGTCAGTCCCCCTATAATTTTTCCATGAAATAGAAAAGGAGGGGACACTCTTAAATTTATTCTGTGAACCATTATCACCCTGATATCAAAACCAGATACATCAAGAAAGGAAAACTACTGACCAATATCCCTTAAAAACATAGACACAAAGCATCCTTAACAAAATATTAGCAGCCCGCACTAAAAAACACAACAAGATTGCACCCATGATCAAGTTAGTTTTATCCCAGGGATGCAAGGATGTTTCATCAATAAATGTATTTTACTGCATGGATAGATTTAAGGACAAAAGTCACATAATCTCAATAGGTGCAGAAAAGTCTTGGATAAAATTCTGTGCTCATTCATGTTAAAAATACTGAAGAAACTAGGGATAGAAGGAACTTCCCTCAATATCATGAAGACAACGTACAGCAACCCCAAGCCAACATTGTACTGAACAGAAAGAAACAAAGCATTTCCTCTAAAATTAGAGATGATACAAGAAAGACCACTGTTACCACTCATATTCAGTATAAATCTCGAAACTCTAGAAAAATAAAAAGAAATTAAAAGGATACAAATAGGAAAAGAAGGACTCAAACTATTTCTCTTTGCCAATGACATGATCCTATACTTGGAAGACACACATACATACATTTCACTAGAAAATTCTTGAGTTGATAAATTTAGGAAAGTAGCAAGCTACAAGGTTAACATATAACAATAAATAGCTTTTCTATACTCCAGTAAAGAATCTGTTGAAGGAAATAAGGAAAACTATTCCATTCATATTAATCTCAAATAAATAAATAAATAAATAAAATGCTTGGGAATAAATCTAACTAAGGAGGTAAAATAACTACAACAAAAATTATAGAACCCTGAAGAAAGAAATTGAAGAAAACCTTAGAAGATAGGAAGACCTACCATGCTTGTGGATAGGCAGAATTAATATTGTCAAAATTGCCATATTATTAAAAGCAATCCACATAGTCGGTGTAATACCCATCAAAATACCAAAAGCATTCTTCATGAAACTAGAAAAAACAGTTTTAAGCTTTATATGAAAAAAATAAAAGACCCAGAATAGTCAAGGCAATATTGAACAAAAAATAATGATTATGATAGCAGAACAGTACCTGGTCTCCAATTATACTACAGAGCTGTAGTAACAAAAACAGCATGGTATTGGCATCAAGACAGACATGAAGACCTATGGAATAAAATAGAAGAAACAGACAAATCCATATAGATACAGTCATTTGACACTCTACAGTGGTGCTTAAATTCACGAAAAGATAGCCTTTTTAACAAATGGTGCTGAGAAAACTGGATATCCATATGTAGAAGAATGAAACTAGATTTCTACTTTTTGTTGTGATTTGTAGTAGATGTGCATATCCAAAAAGTATAGGATAAATTACTTATTTTATCACATAAAGATTGGTAGAATAATGCATAGTAGTTTACTAGTGCCGCAGAAACAAATTTCATGGCTTAAAACAATACAGGTTTATTATCATATAGTTCTGTAGGTCAGAAGTCTTGAAATCAAGGTGACTTTGGAATGTATTTCTTCTGTAGGCTGTATGGGAGAATCTGTTTCCTGCCTTTTCAGATTCTAAAGATCATAAGCATTTCTTGACTCATGTCTCCTTCACCCATTTTTTAAGACCAGCAACTCAACATTTTCAGATATCTTTTTTTCCTTCCCTCTCCTCTCAAGATTTCTGCTTTTGATTTTGTATTTTCTCTCTGACCTTACTATTTCCCTCTTTTAAGGAAACTTTTGACTATATTGGGTTTACCTGGATAATCCAGGATAATAATCTGATTATCTCTTAATTTGGTTATATCACAAAGTCCCTTTCTCCATTTAAGGTAATTTTTTCCTCACAGATTCTGGAATGCAGATGCAGGCATCCTGGGGAGCAGTTCAGCCCAATACATTGTTATTTATGTTCTAAAAGTAGAGTTTTTGTAATTAATTCATGTTGGCTTGTGAAAGCCTCAAAACTAATGTCTACAGAGGATAATTTTCCCTTCCTCAATCTACGAAGATATTTTCCACTTAACATTCTATCATAGAAATAATATATTCCTAAAGATTGCATGGAGTTAATTTGTTGCATTTAATGTCTACCATGTATCTGGGGGTTTAGGTGTTTGCAAAAAGAAGAAAAGATTGAGATTTTAAAATACACGGGTACTCTGAGTCCTGCTATGTATTTTAAATGTATTTTGCTATGGATACTAAACTGCCTTTTCGTCTCTAATCCACAAATCGTGTGTCTTCTACCAACATCCATGATACTACCAGGATAACATGTTAGATTGCAAATTTGGTAAAGTTTCAGACCCTTCACAGGTCTTGTGACATTGTGTATTACCAATAATTAGTCCAATTAATTCAAAATTATTTTGTTTTATTGGACATATTTATGGAGGACTTTGTCAATGTGACATGCATATAATGTTAATGATAAAATCAGGTTAGTTAGCATTTCCTTCTTAAATTTTTATGATTTCCCTATGTTGGGCCCCTTTGAGCTCTACTCATTATTTTAAAATATAGAATAAATTGTTAAAAAGCTTCTTCTGTCTGATGTGCTATGGAACACTAGAGCTAATTCCTCCTGTCTTTAAATGTATTTTGGTACTTGTTATCCAACCTCATTCTATTCTCCCTTCTTACTGTTGTTCTCAGTCTCTAGTAACCACTGTTCTACTCTCAACTTCTTTGAGATAAACTTTTTTGACTTTTATACATGAGTGGGTGAGTATATGCAGCATTTGACTTTTTGTAGTTGGCCTGTTTCATTTAATGTCTTCTAGTTTCATCCTTATTGCCACAAATGATAAGATTTTTTTTTATTGCTGCAATATATTCCATAAAGAAAATGCCATATTTTCTATCTGTTCTTCTGTAGATGAACACCTTAGTTGATTCCAGGGTTTGGCCATTGCGCATAGTGTTGAAATAAACGTAGGTGAATAGGCATCTCTTCAGTATATCCATTGCTTTTCCTTTGGAGATATACCCAGTAATGGGATTACTGGATTATCTGATCATATGATAGTTCTGTTTGTAGTTTTTTGAGGAATCTCCAAACTGTTTTACTCATTAGCTGTACTAATTTGTCTCCACCGAGATTGTATAAAAGATCCCCCATCTCCACATCTTCACCACCATTTATTATATTTTTCCTTCTTAATGATAAACCTTATTCTATAAAAGTCAACTTTTTCATTGCTGTGACCAAAAGACCTGTTCAGAACATTTTTAGAGGAGAGAATAGTTATTTGGTGCTCGTACTTTCAGAGGTCTCAGTCCATAGATGGCTGATTTGACTGATCTGTTTGAGGTGAGGCAGAGCATCATGGGTGAAAATGTGTGGAGAAGAAAGCAGCTCAGGACATAATGACCAGGAAGAGAGAGTTTTGCTCATGAGGAATAAAATGTAAACCCCACAGGCATGCTCCCATTGACCTACTTCTTCTAGTCACATGCTAATTGCCCACAATAACTGCCCAGTTAATTCATATCAGTGGATTAATGTACTCATTACATTAAGGCTCTCATAACTCAATCATTTAAAGTTTCACCTTTAAACTTTCTTGGACTGTCTCACACTTTCGCTCTTGGGGGACACCTCCTATCTAAGTCATAACAGACCTAACTAGGGAGACAGTAATATCTCATTATGGTTTGATTTGCAAATCCTAAAGTTTGTCCATTTGTTAACTCTTCTATTTAAAAATGTCTATTCAGATCACTTGTCCATTTTTTAATTAGTTCTTTTTTTTTAACTGAAAGTTTTATGAATATTCCATATGCATTTGAAGATTTAATTTGTGTTATTAGAGTATATTCTAAATAAATTCATAAGTCAGATCTACCTTATAATGCAGATCTACCTTATTAATTATGGTCATGTGTACTTAACTATGAGGACATGTTTCAAGAAGTGGGTCATTAGGAAATTTTGTCATCATGAGAGCATCTTAGAATGTACTTAATGCAAACAAACAAAGATAGTTGGGACACTGCTAAGTAATAAAATCTTTTGGGATCACTATTATGTGTGTAGTCCATCATTGATGGAAACATTATTATGTAACATAACTGTCAAGTTATTGATTTTTTTTATATTGTGACCTTTCTTGAGCTACAAGTGATGTATCAAAGTCTCTTGTTAGTAGTATTTCTATTTCTTGATTTCCTATAGTTTTTCCTTTATACAAATAGTTGCTGTATTTATCTGATACTAGATAATATAGTCATGTCTTGTGTTCTTTTCTTGTTTTCTTCTTTGTCTAAATTTTTTTGAACAACTTATCAATACTTGCTTCCTAATTTTTCCTAATTGCATGATATATTTTGTATTTTCTGACCCCATCTTTTATGGTTTAGATATGAGGTGTCCCTCAGAAGCTCATGTATGAGACAAAGAAAGAAACTTTAGAGGTAAAATGATTGAGTTAATGAGAGCCTTAACCTAGTCAGCTCATTAATTCACTTGCATGATTGAAATGGGTGGTAACTCTTGGTAGGTTATAGCTGGAAGAAGTAGGTCACTGAGGGAATATGTAACATTTTCTGAAGTTAAAATACTATTCTTATTTGCTTTGCATATTGTTCTTAAGAAAATTAACTCTTAAAATTGTTTTCTTGTGACTTCCTTAGTAGCAAGATAATTTCTTACTGTGGTAAGAGTTATTCTTTTCTAAAAATTAAGATTTTAATTAATGTCAACTTTCTTAAATCAAGACATGGGAAGAAATTTAAATCATAACAATGGTTGTTTAAATGTAAACTCCTAACTGAAATTTTTGTTTTTTTATTCTTCAACAGGAATTAAAACCTGATATGGTAACTAAATCTGCTCTTGGCGATGATATTGACTTTGAAAAAATCTGCAAGAAGGTATATCTGTAGTGGATGGCATTTGTTTATGAAAAGCTCTTTATTTTATGCTTACTTTTGCATGTCATGTATTCATTGAATAGAAGATCTATCAACTATTAGTATATGGTGTCTTTCTCACTGAGTTTCAGTATCACCACTGAAAGGATTTTTAAGGGAATTTAACTGTTTCACTTTGCTGTAATGTCACACTTGCAAAGTCCTTAATACAGCATTTCATGTTTTGTAGAATAATTAACCTATTGGTTACAAGTAAGAATCTATTTTTTTAAATTTATAAATCATTTTCATGAATATCTTATGTAATTTCTGCACCCACCTTGTAAAGCTTTTATTTTTCCCTTTTTACAAATGAGGACAGTGGAGCTCAAAAGTGAGTTAAATGAGCTGATTAAGGTTATTCCTCTATTACGTGGCACAGTCAGTGCTTTTATCCATTTGGATTTGTCACTGCTGTTTAGATGTGTCACTCTTGCTTCTTCCTTACTATTTCTCCTTTTTTTCCTACCAACTTTGCTAATACCTATACTAGACAGTTTACCTTGAGAACAGATTTTGTATTAATTGAATTTTTTTCTCTCTGCTTTTCATTTTTTAATTTGATTTTTGCTCTAACCTACATTTCGTTTTATCTCCTGTTGATTTTACACTATAAATTAATCAGTTATACTGTATTATTTGTATAAACACCATGTACAATAAGTAATGCCAAGAATTAAATATTTAGCTTAAAACTAAGTAAAATCTAGATGTATTTGGATGGTTTAAATTTTACTTACAGTTCATCATATTTTAAGCCAATTCATTTATTGCCTTAGTTTTAAATACAACCATATATTTAATTAAAAGAGAACACTATCTCCTAAGACAAGATCCATAGTAATAATCTTTTCCATTTCAATACTTTGTACTCTTGATTTTCTTCATTTCTTCCTGTCATATTATTGTCTCCCTATGGTTTAAAAGAGCTTTTTTTTTTTAAAGCTCTTTTCTTATTAGAGGAAGGCTCATCTTGGCCTCTGCTTATCTAGAATTCTTCATAAATACATGAGTTCAACTTCATTTTCAAGTTTTTTCATTGTTGTTTTACTTTCTTTTAAGGTGATTATTCTTCCTTAGTTGTCTATAGGACATATACATTCTGTGATGTGAAGTCTTTAAATTTAGAGATTAGTCCACTCCAGGAAATAGGATCCAAGGAAGATGAATTAGGACTTAATATATTTTCACCATTAATTTGTTGTTTATATCTTTAAAGAAAACCTGGAATTGAAATACACCCGCCTTATTATTAAAAGCACTCTTACTAGCATTTTACCTCTGCCAGTTAATCCGCAGTCACTTTGTTGTGTGCAACATTTCCAAGGATTAATTTTACACCTAGGAGATATTTTTAGACTGTTGTTTACATTCAGAGGTACATTTTCAAAGTTGAATACCAAATACTTTTTGTGCTCACAATAAATACCCATGTGCCAAAATAAAATTTTTCCATTAAAAAATGAGGTGTTTTCCACTTTTTTATGTAATTTATTTGAAATGGAAGAAACTGTGGAGGTGTGTAAAAACCACAATTTCCTGAGAATTTTCCATAGCAAACATTGTGTCCATTTTAAATAAGGAAAACTGTGATTTCCTTCATCCTCCAAATATTATGAGGTTTTTTTTTCATGCAGGTGTAAAAACTTTTTGTTCTTAGAGTCTACTCAGTAGCCTGCTAAGTTTCAAAATTTTTTTCTTTAAATATAATATGTATCACTCTTATTTATGTTCCTTTTATTTATTTCCACAACATTTCTCTCTCTCAAATGAAATTTATCATATTCTGCCTTGGGTAAGACATTTGGGTATTTTTCTTAGCTTTTTAAATTAGAGCAACATTGTGAGCCTAAAAAGACGGATTTTGTGTCTTCACATGTAGGATAATGCCTTTATGTAATAATGGCTTAGTAAAACTAAAGAAGGAGGTAGTGAGAAAGGAAAGAAGATAGATTGCCCTACTCATTCTTGTGAGTTCCTGGTGGCAATCAAGATGCAGGCAGACATTATCTCAATACAGCAGACACAAAACTCTGCCAAAAGAAGAAATATGTATCTACTTGCTTCACTAGTTTTTTTTTAATATTTATATTTCATTTCTTTCCAGAAAGATTTGAAAGATTCTTGACACACAATTTAGTGTTAAAAAGCATTTGGATTGAGTCACAAATGAAAGTTATCTTCAGTCTTTTTAGAAAAAAATAAAATTGTTAGGAATATTAGACTGAATTCAGAAGCTTGAGATTTTGAGTTCTGGATTGTTAGTCAATTGATGAATAAAATGTCTGACCTTTAGCTCTTGTTAGAATTTGAGCTTCAAAAATTTCAATGAAGGGCTTTCTATAAACAAGGTTTTAAAAATAAAATTAAAGGGGCTGGGGTTGTGGCTCAGCCTAGAGCGCTAGCCTAGTACATGTGAGGCCCTGGGTTTGAACCTCCGCACCACAAAAAAGTAAATAAAATAAAGGTATTATGTCTAACGACAACTAAAAAATAAATATTTTAAAAAAAGAATAAAATTTAAGAAACATATAAAATTGTACCTTTTTTACTTAGAAATAATTTAAGGTTATCTAAATTATTGATATAATTTATGAAATTGACATTTCTAAGACATAAAAACATTTTAAAAAGTGTATAATATAATATTTTATTGGTCTTTTAATAACAGATAATTTAATCATTCCTGTCTATAAAAACTAATGTTTAAGTCAAGAAATTTTTCCAACTGCACTGTTTTTCCTACTCCCAAAAATACAAATATGAATAAATAAAAATAACTAGTAGTTAAATATATATACAGAGGAGAGATAGATTGATTCTCTGCAATGAATTCTGATGTTTCTGAATACCTTGATTAAATATTTTCAATTCAGTGAAAACTTCAATTATCATTATTTTAATTTATTATATAATTTTTAATTGTTTTAATTTGTTATAATAATATATAATTATATATAATAATTATAAATTTATATAACAAATAACTATAAATTAATACCCAAACATAATTTGACCTTTTCCTTCTAGGCTGATAACTAAAAAGAACTCCAGAAGCCATTTAATTTCAACCCATTGTTCTAAAGCAGTAATATATTCCTAACTATGCAACAGTGAAATTTTAGCCAATGTTAAGGACATGGGTACTACTGCATATTATAAGTGGATTGTCCATTTATAGACCAGAGACACAAAATGTTTTCTCAGGTTTAGAGTTATTACAAGAAGTCTTACGCTAACACCTTTTCCTTTTCCTATATAAGCCACATTTTCCTCAATTATTAGCTAATGAGCTAAAATACATACAGCATCAGAATGTTTTATGTCCTCATTTAAAGTACTTATTATTACAATAATAAGTACTTTGTGCCGCAGTCTGGCTTGGCACAATCAGGAGCCACTTGTCAAAAGAAACTAACTCTATTTTTAGAACCACACATGCCAAACAAAACACCTCCTCAGGAAAAACCCTCAGAGCCCAACTCCTACCACCAGCTCCCCACAAGCCTCTCTACCTCCCCCACTCCTCCTGCTCTTGAGGCCGATTGGCTGGGTCGCGTGGGCGGAGCCAAAGAAGTCCCCCAATGAGCAGCTCTGTGGTCTGAAAGGGCAGGGAAACAGCCCAATGAGCATCACCGCAGAGGAGCCAATCAGCTAGATGTTGCTGGGGCTGCTGTGAGCCAATCATCAGCTGGCAGTCTGAAAGGGCAGGGAAACAGCTCAATGAGCATCTCCAATGAGCATCACTGCAAAGGAGCCAATCAGCTGGAAGTTTGCTGGGGCCCCTTGGCTATGGCTCTCAACAACTTTTAGGTTATCATGAACTTTTGCTTTTAAAACAAAAATTACACGTGACTGTACAACATAGGTTGTGGTATTCAGAGTTCTTCTTAACTGCTCAATTTTATATGCAAACATAAGTTGCAGACCCAAAGTTCTTAGTTCGCTGAACTCACTGCTGCTGCATTTGACTGTGCAGTTCAAATTTGATGACTACAGCATGAGTAGCAGTTCTGGAATTACACAACACAATGCCTCTTTTCAAATCATTCTACCTTTTTATTAATTTGATATTCTCCCCCAAGTAAGCCCCCGCACAAAGTTGCATCCTGAAAACAAATTATGTTTGATTATTAACTTTAATGCTATTATTATTATAATTCTATAATAGAGGGAAACATTTAAAAGAAATTAGAAGAAAACTCTCCTTCATTTACATAATTATATAATTGTAAATAATACTGTAGAGACAGTTTTTTAAAAAAGAATTTACTATCATATTACTAAATCACAGTTATCATCTGGGACAATTTTCTGGGGCAGAGAAATAAAATTGAATAAATTTAAAAATAATATGATTAATAAATAATACCCCAAGTTTACACTAGACAGTCAATTCTACAGCTTTTATAACTACCATGAAAAGATATAGTTATCTCTAGAAAGAAAAATACCCAGCTCAGCAAAGATGTTAGCACTTTGTTAAAGCAGGGATTTGAGAGTGGCAATAGTTTTTGAGCAATCGGGTATGAATACATTTTAATTAAGATTTCTTTAGGATTCTTAGAATTTCTTATATAAAATGTATGAGATTAATTTACATAATGAGAACAGGTGCTTTCTAACTTACTTGTTTTTTAAAGACACTGATATTCAAATATTACAGATTATCTTTGAAGTGAACTTAGTTTCAAAGGGGAAATACATTGAAATAAGCAGTCAAATGTAAAAGCTTCTCCTGGAGTGTCCTCTTTTCCCTTATAATGTGAAGGGTAATTTCCTGGGAAATGTATAACATTTATCAGCATTAATTGTTTTTTTTGTTGTTGTTGTTGTTGTTCTTGTTTTTATGTTTTAATCTTCTGGGATTAATCCTGAGATTAAATTTACTTCTTCTATTCGAAATATCACTTCTTCTGTTTCTATAATGCAAAAATCTCAAAGAATGCCACCATTCTGGATACACATTTAGTTCTCTAACATGTTGATTGGCTTTGGCAACAAAGGTCTATTATAGCAGAGCTTTTATTTTAAACCTTAATGTTTACTGAAAAGCTAAAAAGTTTTTTCCTTTTTTCCTTGATACACAAGATTCAACTTTCTTGGATTTAGAGCAGCTGTCACTAAAGCTGGTTTTTTATACTATAGTCTCATTTTAATTTTCTTTGCAAATATTTTTATCAAGGTCACATTTTGAGTTTCCAGGTGGACATGAATTTTGTGGGGACACTTCAGCCTCAGTTAAGGAGACAATTAGCAGGTTGTCCTAGCACAGGATTGACACCTGCTCTTGAGGCCGATTGGCTGAGTCACGTGGGCGGGGCCAAAAAATAATGTTAAGTTTTTTGACTTAACATTATTCAGCTAAGTACTCCAAAGAGAACATAACTTTAAACTGCCATTATCCTGCTTTTGTTTAGGTGTTCATATGTTTATATCACTGGGAGAGAAAAGCCAACATATTTGGCTAAAACAATGAAGGATAACTTTAGGACAAAGACATTTGAAGCTTGTAGCTCTAGTTTCACATAATGATGAAATTTAATCACTGGCTTGATTGTTTATTTAGTACCTGCTCTTGCAGACACTGTTAAGTCACCAGATCTACACCATGTTTCGTAGGTATGAATATATTTGCAATGGCATACAGTGTTAAGTTCTGTGAAGTAAATAGTGATGGAAAATATTTTGCTAGTTGAGATAGCTTTGGAACGTGAACCTGAATACAATGAAATGAACAGCTATTTATGTGTTTGTGAGTAGAACATTCCAGGTAGAGAGGAGTTTGCAATGAAATGGCTTAAGCATTATCTATGAGAGCAAAATCCAAAGAAGACCAATTCACTATGGGCTTATTAACTTGGTTCACTTCAGATACCGGTGATTCTGTCAAAGGCAGAAAGAGTAAAAATGTTAAGAGGTGATTGCTTCTGGATATATTTTGCAGATAGAGCCACAAGATTTGCTAAAGGATTTATTGTGAGATGTGAGGGAAGAAGAAATATGGTGAAAGAATCCTTAGTTTTAGGGCTGAGCACTCAGAAAAATAGAAAGTTCAATAAGATGGTAGAAACAATAGGAGAAGGGGTTTATTTGGAAAAGAAAATCAAAGAGTTTTGTCTTGATATGTCAAGTAAATGAATCAAGTAGGTAGTTAAATATATGAATCTGAGCTCATGTTAGAATTGGAGGTAGAAATTTGGAAGTTGTTGGTTCACATAAGATATTTAAAGCAATTAACCAATAGTATGAATTTTCTAAATTAATAAAACAACAATATATGTATGATCTTTTTAAATTCAGTCATCATCAGATTTTTATCAAGGTTGACTTTAAATTAGGCAATGTTTCAAATTCTAAGGATACAGTGGTGATACTCACTTTCAAAATATAAATATATAATATTTGGTAATTCCTAGGTGTCTATTTCACATTTGATGAGGAGTATAATTCTGAAAACATTGTTTCCAAAATTTATTCAATTTTCAGATATTTGTTGCATTATCTACATTTCCAGATATTTATCTGGAACAGTCCATGTTCCAAAAATAATTATTATAATAAGTAAATAGTACTTTTTATTGATTACATTATTATTTTAATTGTTCCAAAGTAATAATATTTTTTGCCAGCATGATGTATACCTTTAGCATAGATAAGTTATCTATTGATTATTAACTAAATTGTTTCCCAATTTTAAAAGATTTGATTTTATTCCCATATATGTATTTTTTTCAATTTGCAGCCAGATTCTACAGCATCTGAAAGAGCAGTTGCCAGACTAGCAGTACACCCTCTTCTGAAGAAAAAAATAGATGTGCTTAAAGGTATGAATGAAATGATTTAACTCTTGAGTATTTTATAATATAAGCATGAGTTTCTTTCAAATATTTAAAAATGTGGAAGGTACCTGCAAATATAAAAAGTATCTGATTCTGAAGAAAAACTAAATCTGTTTTTTCTTAAATTTTAATATAATATACATATTATGTATATTATATTCAGTGCATTTAAATATACATGATCAAGTTGAATATATTTGCTGTTCTAAATGCTGATTAAACTCATAATATTTTTTATTTAGCCATTTCACATAATATTTAAATGCATTATCAAATATAGAGAATTAAATACTTTTGCCACAGGTTAGATGAGATTTATTTTTGTTTGAAAGCACAGTTGAAATTATTTAATGCATTATGAATACAGAAATTAAAGTCGCCGTTTTCCTTTATTTATATTCAGTGACATTTTTACTGTTCTTTGTAACTCCAAAATATGAAGAAAGGGTGATTCTTCTTTTATTTGGCAGCTTAGAAATGGATGCATCTGAGCCTGTCATGAGTTATATTTTTAAGAAATCAAAAAATTTTTTTGTTAATTATCTCATTTTAAATATTTCATTATAAATTCAAGTTTTCCTCTTAAATGTTTCCAAATAATTTAAGAATTTCTGTCCTAAAACAGTGATGTTTTATATGTTTCAATGCTGAAATAAGTCATGTACTGTTTTTCTTGCAGCTGCTGTGCAAGCCTTTAAAGATGCAAGACAAAATGCTACCAAAGTTGACTCATCAAAGAATACTTCAGAAGAAAATCATTATAAAGATACTTTGTGTTCAAATGATGATGCAAGGAAATTACAGCCTAAAGAAACTATCACCAGTGAGCAGAAAGTGAAAGAAGCCAAAATACAGGCAAAGAAACCAACAAATAATTCAAAGGAAAAAATAGCCAAGGTAGAACATGGATCCAAAGCAGTAAACATTACAGAGTCTCTGTCAAAGCGTTTGGGAGAGGATTCTGTAGTCCTTTGTCAACCTGAGCACACACCTGCTGAAACAAAAATGAAAACATTAAATCAAACAAAAATAATGAAGGTGCCTGATAGCTCAGTTGATGGTAACAGTGATATCGAAGAAGAATTACATGAAGAGGAAAAGGTATATTTTGATGACAGCACAGAAGAAAGGTTCTACAAACAGTCTTCCATGTCCGAGGATAGTGATAGCGGTGATGACTTTTTCATTGGGAAAGCCAGGCGGACACGAAGGAAAGAAAGTAGTTGCCATTCTTCAGCTAAGGAACAAAAACCCCTCCAATTTTTACCCAAGGAAGAGACTCATGAAACCCATTTGAATGTAAGAAATGACAAAAACAAGCCAAGTACAGAAGCCAGGAAGTTAGAATCAGTGTTTTTCCATTCTTTGTCTGAATCTAAAAGCTCTAGAAGGTAAGGTTATTTTTTTATTCTGAAATAATTATTAGTACTTATTTTTTATTTTTTTAATTAGAACTTTATAGTTATACATTGTAGTTGGGTTCATCCTGACAAACTCACACATGCATGGAAATTGATATCAGTTTATGGCACACACATGCACACACACACACACCCAGCCACCGCCATGCACACACACACACACACACACACACACACACACCCAGCCACCGCCCTTTTCTGTCCTGTCCCTCCTTCCCTCTCCCATTTTCCTTCCTCTACTTGACTTCCTTTCACTCATCCATTAGTGTATTTGATTAGTTCTTTGTATTAGCCTATCCTTCCTTCCTCCTCCTCTTTGTTTTGCTCTAACTTCCTTATGTGAGAGAAAACATTCAGTTGAGTTTCTGAGTTTGGCTTATTTCACTTGGCATGATATTTTCTGCTTCTATCCATTTACCAGAAAATACTGTAATTTCATTCTTTTTTTAATATTTATTTTTTAGTTATAGGTGGACACAGATTAGTGCACCAATAAATTATTTTATTTTTATGTGGTGCTGAGGATTGAGCCCAGTGCCTCATGCATGCTAGGCAAGCACTCTACTTCTGAGCCACAACCCCAGCCCCTGTAATTTCATTCTTTTTGATGGCTAAGTATAACTCCATAGTGTGTGTGTGTGTGTGTTTGTGTACACATATATCCCAATTTCTTTCTTCATTCATCTATTAATGGGCATTTGGTTTGATTCCATAATTTAGCTATTGTGCATCTGTAAACATTGAGGTGGCTGTATAGCTGTAATATGCTGACTTTAGATCTTTTAGGAATATACCAAGTGCGATAGTTGCGTCTTATGGTAATTCTGTTCCTAGTTTTTTGAGGAATCTCTATACTGCTTTCCAGAGTGGTTAGGCTAATCTGCACCAACTATGTACAAATGTTTCTTTTTCCCGCAACCTCACTAGCACTTATTATTATTCTTGATCATTGACATTCTGAACTGCAATAAGATGAAATTTTATTAGTTTTGATTTTCATTCTCCTGATTGCTGTAGATGTTAAACATTTTTTCATTTATTTTGTTGTCCATTTGTGTTTCTTCTTTTGAGAAGTTTCTGTTCAATTCTTTGTCCATTTATTGGTTGAGTTATTTGGTTTTTTGGCATTAACTTTTCTGAGTTCTGTATATTCTGGTTATTAGTCCCCTATGGAAGTGGTAGCTGGCCAAGATTTTTTCCCCCATTCTGTAGGCTCTTTTTTCACGCTCATGCTCTTTTAATCATTTCCTTTGCTGTACAAATATGTTTTAATTTGAAGGCATCCCACTTAGTGATTCTTGGTTTTATTTCTTGCACTTTGGAGATCTTAAGGAAGTTAGTACCAGCACCTACATGATGAAGTGTTGATCACTCTATGTTTTCTTCTAGCAGTTGTGAAGTTTCTGATGGAATTCCTAAGTTTTTCATCCATTTCAGTTTGAGTTTTGTTGGGAGGGAGGGTCTGTTTTCATTTTTATACATACATCTATCCTGTTTTCCCAGCACCATTTTTTAAAAGATGGCTAAAAGTATGTGTATTTGTCTCTTTGTCTTCTATTCTATTCCATTGTTCTTCATGTCTATTTTGATGCCATTACAATGCTGATTTTTGTTACAATAGCTATGTAGTATAATTTCACATCAGGTACTGTAATGCCTCCTGCTTCACTTTTTTGCTTATTATTGCTTAGGCTACTCTGATTCTCTTACTCTTCCAATTAAGAATTGTTTGTTCTAATCCCATGAAGAATATTATGGGGATTGCAGTGAATCTGTGTATTGCTTTTGGTAGTATGACCTCTTTGACCATTCAGAGGCCTCTTTCTGCCTCTATTGAGATGATCATGTGATTTTTGTCCATAATTTGTTTAAGTGATGAATTACATTTATTAATTTGCATATATTGAACCAACCTTGCATCCCTGGAATGAAAACAACTTGATCATGATGTATTATCTTTTTGATGTGTTTTTGAATGCAGTTTGCTAATATTTTATTAAGTATTTTGCATCTATGTTCATCATTGATCTGTAATTTTCTTTCCTGTTGCATCTTGTATAATACGTTTTGGTATCAGGGTTATAATGGCTTCATTATAATGTATTTGGGAGTGTTCTCTCCCATTTTCATGGAATAATTTGAGAAAGACTTGTGTTAGGTCTTCTGTAAAGGTTTGGTAGAACTGAGCTGAGAATCCATCAGGTCCTGGGCTTTGCTTTTTTGGAAGGCTTTTAATTTCTCTTTGAATTTTATTATTTAATATTGGTCTGTTTAGATTTTCTGTATCTTCTGATTCAATTTGGGCAGGTCATATGTGTCTTGAAATTGATCAGTGCTTTCCAGATTTTCCAGTTTATTGTAGTATAAATTTTCAAAATAGGTTTTTATAATCCTTTGGATTTCAGAGGGGTCTATGGTGATAAACAGTCTGTTTTCATCTCTGATTTTGTTGATTTGCTTCTTCTCACTCTTTCTTTTGGTTAGTTTGGTTAAGAGTTTCTCAATCTTGTTCATATTTTTAAGGAACCAACTCATTTGATTTTTACTCTGGTTTTAATTATTTCCTGCCTTTTCCTGGTTTGGAAATTACTTTGTTCTTCCTTTTCTAAGGACTTGAAGTGGACCATAAAATTACTTATTTGGGATTTAATTTTTTTAATGTAAGCACTCAGTGCCATCAATTTTCCTCCTAGAGCTGCTTTCACTACTGTCCCAGAGATTTTGATACATTGTATGTATGTACTTATTCATTTCTGAGAATTTTTGATTTCTAGTCTCCTTTCTTCTCTTTGATCTAGTCTTCATTTAAATGAGTGTTGTTTGATCTCCATGTGTCCAAGTGGTTTCTATTATTTTTCTTGCTGTTGATCTCTTGCTTCATTTCATTATGATCTGATAGGATACGTGGGATTAATGTTGTTGTTTTGCTAAGATTTGCTTTGTGGTCTAGGATGTGACCTATTTTGGAGAAAGTTTCATGTACAGCTGAGAAGGTGAATTCAGCTGTTTGGGGGTAGAATATTATGTAGCGGTTCATTAGGTCCATTTGATTTATATTGTTTAGGTTGGAGATATCTGTATTGATTTTTATGTTTTAATGACCTGTCTGTTGGTGATGGGTGTGTTGAAATCACCCAGTATTGTATTGGGGTCTTTGTAGATTTAATGACATGTAATTGAGTATGTTGACATTTGGGACATAAATGTGTACTATTATCTTCTTGTTGGATTATTCCCTTGATTAGGACTAGGATATAGTAGCCTTCTTGTCTCTTCTAATTAATATTTGCCTGAAATCTACTTTGTCACCTATGAGACTAGCTGTTCCTGCTTATTTTCTTGGTCCTTATGTACGAAATATATGTTGCCATCCTAGTACCTTCAGCCTGTGGATGTCTTTGCCTATAAGATGAATCTCTTATAGACAGCATATTGTTATTGTTAGATCTTGTTTTCTGATCCATTCTCCTACCTGTGTCTTTTATTTGGAGAGTTGAAATCATGAACTTTCAGCATTAGAGTAGATTTGTGTTTGTGATTTTCTTCCATTTTGTTTTTTTGTTTGTTTGGTTGGTTGGTTTTTTGCTATATTTTATCCTGTTTTAATTCTCATTTAGTGGATTATTTGTCTATTGAACTTTCTGTGTTTTGGAGCTTTGGAAATTGATTTTCAGGTCCTTTTTTGCAGTTTGTCTAAGTATTCTTTGTAGTTGGATTGGTACTCATGAATTCTTTTAGTTTATTCTTGTCATGGAAAGTTTTTATTTCCCCCTTTTAATTTGAAACTGAGCTTTGCTTGGTATAGTAACTTTGCTGGCAGTTGTTTCCTTTTAGGGTTTGGAATATCTCATTCCATGCCCTCCTTGATTTTAGCATCTGAGCTATGAAATTGAAAGTGAGGCTTATTGGTTTGCCTCTAAATGTGGCCTGGTGTTTCTCTCTTGCAGCTTTTAATATTCTTTCCTTATTTTCTGTATTAGGCATTTTGATTATGGTATATCTTGGTAAGCTTCTTATTTGGAGTCCTGTAAGCCTCCTTTATGTGGATGTTTATCTCATTTCTGATATGGGAAAGGTTTTCTGTAACTATCTCATTGAAAATGTTCTTTGTGCCTTCAGTTTGTGTCTCCATATTCTTTTCTATCCCAGTGAGTCTCAGGTTTGGTCTTTTAAAATTGTCCCAAATTTCTTGTATATTCTAGTCATGTTCTATAACTTTTTCCCCTTTATTTTACTCAAGACCATATACCCTGTCTTGAAGTTCTGTCTTCAGAAGGGCTGAAGTTCTGTTTTCTCATCTGTTAGTGATGCCTTCAATCAAATTTTTACTTTCATTTCTAGAAGTTCTGCTTGGTTTCTTTTTACTGTTTCTGTTTCTTTTTTAAAATGGTCTTTCATATTCTGTAATTGTTCTCCTAATTCCTTTCTTAGATCTTCTTTTATTTGTTGAACATTTCAATAATCAGTTTTTTATAATCTACCTGTAGGCTTTGTCTGCCTCATTATCAGTGGGATCCTTTGTTGAGGCATTATGAAATTTGGGGGAAGATTTGTTTCCCTGTTTTCTTAGGTTTTCAGAAGTCTTGGACTGGTGCATTGACTGAGGCAATTTCTTTACCTCTTCCTTTGGGCATGTTCTTCAGTGTGTAATTATTTTATTTGTTCTGAGATTTATCTGTGTTTTTGATGTATGCATAGATGCCAAATGCTGGGACCTGAGTTTCCTCTCTGATTGTTCCTCCTTGGGTCTTTGTTGTTGGTTTGAGGCTTTTTGTCTCCTCACTTGAATTGGGGTAATGTGAGAGAATGTTTAGTTCAACAGCAGTCTTTATACCTTTGAACTTTAAATGTCCCATTAGGTTCCCAACACCTCACAGAGCTGGGCAAAATAAACAGTAGTACCAGTCATTGCAAACAACAAACAATACATTGTTAAATTTGCCACCATTAAAGAATAATGGTAACAACCATGAACTAGAACTGGCTTTACAGCAAATAGCAGGTATCAACTATATCATTCACAGTAGTAATGATTATATGACCATTAATGATAGGCACAGGAATTAAATAGACCAATTAGTTCTGAAAGATGGCAGAAATATAGTTATTTAGGGGAAAAGGAAATGTGTCAGGAAGTTAGTAAAGACTACATTTTCAAAAGTGAACAGAGAATTCAGAAGACATGTAGGAACTGACGTTTATACGGAAGGAAGGGAAAAATAGAGGCAGCAGTGTATTGGGAAAGAGAGAACAAAAGAATTTGGCAGTTAACAGGAGAAGAAAGAGAAATAAACAAATGCAAACAATACAAAACCAAATAAAAATATACAATCCAATAAACCCAAACCCTCAAAATATAATGCTAGGAAAAATAATTACAATTAAAAATGAGAGAAAAAGAAATAAGTGTATGTTTATATATTCCTTATGCAGTCAGCACAGCCAGAATTCCACACACATATATACTCACACATACACAGAAAGAATTTAAAAAATAATATAAAATTTTTTATTTATGTTTTAAAATGAAGGAACCTTCTTAACTGAGGTGGACAAAATAGTTGACCAGACTGGGTGGTCACTGCATACATCCACCAGTCTAATTCTTCTTGAGTTATGTACTGATAGAGCAAGGGTTAGGGGATTTTAATCCCTTCCTGTTTTTGCATTGCTCTTTGAGGTGCTGCTAGTTGGAATGGACAAAGATTGACGCTGTTTGATACAAGACTCAGTTTCCCTTCTCACCAGTTTAAGGTGGGATGGATTAGGAAGTATTAACACTTGGAGTTTTATCCATTTGGACCAGTTCACAGTGGTGCACTCCCAGGGTTCTGCTTCTGCAGCATTCTGTGAGAAGAGTTCCAGCAGGTGGGGCTGAGGTCTAATCAGGCCTCAGGAGCTTTGTTGGGTGGTCCCTGCTTTAGAGAGGCTGAATCAACCCACTCCTAGGGCTAGATAGTAGCTGATCTCTTCTTTGGGTCCGGTTCTCAGAAGCCTCCCAAGAAATCCACTCGTGGGGCAGAGGGCCAATGCTTCACTCACTGCTTCCCAGGAGCCTGGTCTTCCTGGGCTTAGACCCTGAGTGTATTCATCACCGCCCATAGGACCCTCCACCCCACCCCATCACCCCTCTCAAATGCATCAGCCTGCTTCAGCAACACAAAGGAAAAGCAAGTTGGATTCCCATTTGCCCTTCCATATGGAATCCCCCCGAGATATAGTCTACTCTGTGCCTGTTTCATATTCTATTACACCCAGCCTAGGCCCCTCCATAGGCACCTCCCAGGATATTCTGGCTGCAGTTTTTTGTTTTTTCCTGATCTCCCTGGTCCAGTAGTCACGGCAGCCCTACACTTACCCCAGATGGCTTCTGCCTCATCTCTCTGTGTCCAGTTAAGATACATAACGTGCTTTTCGAGTATCAATGTGCAGTGCAGCCTCTGGATCAGTTAAAACTAGGCAACATTTTTTATCTCAGGTTTCTCTGTACCAAGACTTTGATTCCCCCCTGCTAGTCTTGGGAAATTGCACTAGCAGCTGCTGGTTATCTTTGATGAACTCTTTCTTCTTTATTTATTGTACCCAAATTTCTAAGTCCTTTAAATGGCTTTGAGTGTACAATATTAAAATTTAGTGAAATCCCACTTTCAGCGACCTTGCTGAGAGGCTGTACATCTACTGCCATGCCATAACATGGGATACATCTTCCTTTATTTCACCATCTTCTGGATTCTAATCCTTACCTTAAAAAATAATAATGAATATCAAATAACAGTGAGGGAAGAGACCATCTCCCATGAATAATTTTAGTTTGTTCAATCCATCCTGTTTTTAGACTTGATTCGCTTTTATAATAGAGTAACAAATAGATATACTCATGGCAATGCCACATTTGTCCAGTTTCATCATTAAAATTAAATGAGATATTATAGCCAAATAATATGCCTACCTAACTCATTGTAGCCAAATAATATGCCTACCTAATTCATTCAGTTATCAAGATTTTGAAACTTGAACTTAGTCTTTCATGAAAAACTTTTGAAAATGTTGCACATCTCTCTCTCTATTTAAATAGAACTTTCTGAAAAGAATATGGTGGGGGGTTTGTTGTTTGTGGGGTTTTTTTGGTGAGGGTTGTTTGTTGCTGTTTTGTTTTGTTTTGTTTTTTTTTGGTACTGGAGATTTAACTCAGGGGTACTTTACCACTGAGCCATATCCTTAACTCTTTTCATTTTTTATTTAGAGGCAGGGTCTCAATAAGTTGCTAAGGGCGGGCTGGGGATGTGGCTCAAGCGGTAGTGCGTTCCCCTGGCATGTGTGCGGCCCGGGTTCGAACCTCAGCACCACATACAAAATAAAGATGTTGTGTCTGCCGATAACTAAAGAATAAATATTAAAGAAATTCTCTCTCTCTCTCTCTCTCTCTCAAAAAAAAAGAAAGAAAGAAAAAAAAAGTTGCTAAGGGCATTGCTAAGTTGCTGAGGCTGTGCTCAAACTTGCAATCTTCTTGTTTCAGCCTCCCAAGTCCCTGGGATTACATGCATGTGCCACCTCACCTGGCTTGGTGGATTTTCTTGAAGGCCTAGGACTGCCGTTGTAAACTAATTTTACTGTGTAGTGCTGTTGGGAAACACTTGCCCTACCAGTTGCCCCCAGCTACTTTCTGTTTGATGACGTCTTCTTCATCCCTGCGTCTTCTTCATCCCTGCTTTTCACAACTGTTCTGTTAAAAATCAATGAATTCATTTATCTTTCTAACCTGATAGAGTATATCTTCACATTTTAAAGTTCAGTTAGCTTCAATAATAGCTACTTTGTTCAGTAACTATTATCTTCAGTAAACTATTTTTGTATATTTATAGGTTAGAGATCATTCTTTAATAGATTAGGAAAATGTGATATAAAAATTTTACAAAGAAGTAAGAATATTGAACAGACACACAACCACTTTTGGACCCTTGAAAATAATTAATATTTACTTACACCCCAGTCCTGCCTCAAAAATGTATATTTTTTTCTTGTTTGAAAATAACATATCACTATCTCTTCCCACAAAATATAAATCTTAATTTTTTTTATATTTGTTTTATTTCTCCCTGTAATAAGACTTGGAATTCTTTAAATAGCCCCAAGAGTAGAGGCAAGATAACCAGACTAGAACATTTTTCACTTATAAACTGAAGGGCCTATAAGGATAGAGAGCATAAAAATCCCTTATGTATCTGTATTTATGTTGGAATCTTGCAAACCTTTGATGTACCTAAAACCTGGGTTCTTTTATTGATTGTTGTGGGATAATTGAATATGATAGTCCCATGCATAAGTTTTATCATCCATTTTATTATGTTGTCCTCATGAGGATTTAAATAAATCCTTTAAAAAAATCTTTTAAAAATCATAATGATGTGTTTCTTTTTTAGGGATTATAGAGAACAAGCTCCAAAGAGCAAAACCACCCCAGGTATGTATCAGTGTCTACTTGACTTCCAAAATGCAAATGAGCAGTGCTTTACCAAAGTTGAAGAATGAAAAATTATAATTGCTTACTGGCCTCAATGAATTTATGCACCCACATAAATGGAAACCGAACATCTTATAATTATATAATTTTTAATTTTATTGGGTTTTTGTTGTTGTTGTGTTTTAGCCTTCCATGTTAGCAAGACTGTGTTTCTATTTAAATAAGACAGCACAGTATTTATTGGGAGACACTCAATAAACAGCAGTCTACAAAGATTAGAAACCATGTTCCAAAATTAATTGTTCATATGAAAAATTTTAACTTCAAATTGGACTTCAGTTAATTCTGAAATATTGACTTTAAATAAAGCAAAATTTCTCCTTTAAAAAATGGTTTGATAAAGGAAAAATATCTGTTTCTTATGTATGCTATTTAAAAATAATTTTTTTTTATTATTTTTGCTTTCTTTTCCAAGATTTTCTGGAAAACAAACCTCAGACTGAGAATCTATTTAAAAAGAATGTACCAAAAGGACCTACAAATACAAAGCAACAGTTACACCTGCCTCTTCATCCTTCTTGGGAAGCAAGCAGGAGGCGTAAAGAACAACAGTCTAAAATTGCTGTGTTTCAGGGGAAAAAAATTACATTTGATGATTGATCAGTGCTTCTTTTTGGACTTTCCATCTAAAAGTTATTTTCCTGTCTTTCCCACCCCCTGGGGGGAATTTTTTTTTTAATTTAATAATATAACTTATTTTACATTAAATCTAAGTAAGTCTTATTGAAGGGGTCATAGAAATGCTAAGTGAGAGTTCAAGTTATGTTTATATATATCTTTCAGAAATCAAGTGCACACTTAAATTAATTTTTAATAATACTCCTTGGATTATTTCTTCTGTAAAAGAATTTGGGAATTATAGTAATGTTAGGATTTCTTATTTGTTCATATCATGAAGTATGTTTCCCTGGTTCAGCTTTTTTTTTGTTTGTTTTTTTTGTCATGAAAATAAATGTCAGGGTATATTTAAAATAGTAATGGAAAAATTTGAGAACCTCTTAGTTATTTAAAATATTTTGTTAGAAGTTATTCTTTTGAGCAAAACAAAAGTAGTTACTTTATTATGGACGTACAAAAAATAAATTATATAAATAAACATTAATTTTTTATTATACTTATTACTAATGACTTGTCATGTACTTCTGTTCTAAAATAGTTTTTCAGAATTAATTTGGGGTTTTTAAGTTATATTTTAGTTACTAAGGCAAATTGTTTAAATGTAGCAACAAAACCAAAGGTCATTTTTATATTCATATAAATATTTCTATTAAATCAAGAAAGTATACTATTTATTTATTTACTCTTATAATAGCTTTTTTTTTCTTCTTCTTTTTTGATACCAGAGATTGAAGTCAGGGGCACTCAACCACTGAGCCACATCCCCAGTCCTATTTTGTATTTCATTTAGAGACAGGGTCTCACAGGGTTGCTTAATGCCTCATCATTGCTGAGGCTGGCTTAGAACTCAGTCCTTCTGTCTCAGCCTCCCGAGCCGCTGGAATTATAAGCATGCTCCGTCCACCTGGTGTAGATTATAATTTATAAGAATAAATTCTAGAAGGAAGAGCATTTCTTCTTATGGCTGAGCAGAGTTAAGAGTGGCTAATTTGTACATTACAGTACTGATATTTTAAAAGAAAATAATTTAAAATATTCCTTCAAATGTTTCACTTTTTGCTACTCTGAAAGAAATGAAAGGTTATTATTTAACTAAATAATGCTTCAATGTTTTGGTTTGGTTTTTTGGTACTGGGGATATAATCCAAGGGCACTTTACCACTGAGCCACATCCTTAGCCCTTTTTATTTAGAGGCAGGGTCTCACTAAGTTAAATTGCTAAGGGTCTTGCCAAGTTGCTGAGGTTGTGCTCAAACTTATAATCCTCTTGTTTCAGCCTCCCAAATCACTGAGATTACAGGCATGTGCCACCTCACCTGATTTGGTAGATTTTCTTGAAGCCTAAATTCCATGTTTCCTGCATGTTAATGCTTTTAATGACAGGGAAGATCATCTGGTTAGCCTGAATTATTTGTCTCAAGAGTAATGTCTTCCAATTTTAAAAGCTTAAGAATTTAGGTAACTAGAACAATAGAATTTAAGACATCATGTAAGAATTTTTTTTTTACTTTATTGAGTGCAAAAATTATTTCACTTCTTTTAAATTTTTATTTTAATTTTATAATGACAAAAAATAAGTAAAAGAAAAATGTCTTTGTGCCTGCCTACTGTAGTTTTTATAAACTGTGAGGTTGAGAGCACTATCTTCCAGACTGCCAAGTCTGCCCAAAACTTCTTACCCCATTGGAAGTAGCTAAGAATTAGGGTCCAACTGAAAAGTTGGAGGGAAGAGTTTTCCATTTGTTGGCTGCTAGATTTTGTTACATGGAAAATACTGTGGATCTTTCTTCTGGAATGCGGTGAAGTTACTTAAAATCACATTTGTCCTTTTTGAGGAGGTCTAGAACAGACATTAGGGGACATCTGGCAGCATCTGAAAATAGTTTGTGTTGTCACCAGAGGGTAGGGATGCAAGAGAACGTACCACATCTAACAAATACAGGCCACGTATGCTGCTAAACTTTCTATAGTACATAAAAGGTAGAACTTTCCAGCTCAAAATTTTAGCAATGCAGAGGTTGAGAAGCCCTAATCTGGGGCACATTTGACCCCACTTATTTGGGAACATTACCTTTTAATAATTCTACCCTGGTAATTTGTATATTGAGAAATGTTTCTGTTGTGCTTAATAAGTACACAGAAAACTATTCCTAGCTTTTTATAAGCTCCTGGGATTGTTCTCCTCACTTCCTTCTAATATCTTTGTTTATTTGTTTGTTTTCTTCTGACTTTGGTGGATTCTTCACATTCATTGCACAAATCAGTTTTCTACCACTTACTTGAGGGGACCCCTCTAGAGATATCAGGAGCACATCCTCTCTTTCTTGGCATCTTCTTCTTCTGCAATATACTTTGCCTTCATAAATTTCAATTACATTGTTCTGCCTAAACCCTGAACTCTTCTTTTCAATTCTGTGAAGCCATCAAGTTCTTTGGGGTTTCTTTCTTTTTTCTCTGTAGTTTGGAAACTCTTCAAACAGTCAGCTGATATACTTGTGGCACTGGATTCATTTGTTTTCCTTCTCTCAGAACTGCTATCTTGTGCTGCCCATCGTCCATTGTCTAAAACACATTTTTTCATATATTTTATAGTTTTCTAGTTTAATATAGAAAGGCTAAGGGGAAGTTGTCACCTTCCTGGCTAAGTGTTTGTTGGGCTTCCTTTTTGAAATTTTATCTTTAATTTGGTGTTTTTCCATAGTTAATAAGAAATTGATACTCATATTGTACTTAATTTGGCTAACGGGAGTTTTGTCAACTATCACCTCTGTCCTTTTGACATGTAAGTCCTTAATCTAACAGTGAGAAAGATAGTTCTCATTTTCTGCAATATATTTACATATTTACTCAACCCTTGAATACACAGTAGTCCATCTCAGAATTGCTTGCTAGCAGATTCCTCTTTAAAAGAGAAATCAACTAGCCAAAGTTCAGTATTTGTTTAGAGTTTTTCCTTTAACCTGAAAACATATTGGTGTTTTGTTTGGTTTTGGTTTTTGGTCCTGGGAAATTGAACCTAGGGCCTTGTACATGCTAGTCAGTCATTATAAAACTACTAGCTACATCCTCAGCCAGTTTTATTTATTTTTGAGACAAAATCTTACTAAATTACCCAGATTTACTTCAAATTTGCAATTTATCCTCCTTAACCTCCCCAGTAGCTGGGATTACAGGCATGTACTGCCACATCTAGCTTGATCTTAAAACTCTTTGACAGTTACCTAGAGTATTAACAGCCAGAATAGCAGAATAAGAAAATCCAAAAATTCTTCTCTCTTTAAAAGCAATAAGAAAACTGTCCAAACTATTAGATCAGAACTCAGAAATTAATCCAAGGCTTGCATCAATTCAAGGAGTATTTATTCAGGAAAATGACTGAATCTCTCTATAAAAACAATGATTGTAACAGTGTCTTACCTTGTCACATTTCTATTTCCTACTTTCTTCCATTATGGCCTTGAAAATAAAAGCCCAGAATCAGTTTAAAAAAAAAAAAAAGGCAGATACCAGAGGGGAAGAAATAGTTGGAATTTCTCCAAAGAATCCTTAAGAATTATCATTATTTTGACCTGCTTGGTTGTGTCCTGGAAGACTACCACTTGCAAGGCTGTCTTATTTGAAGTAGTTAAAGCTTGCTCAGATTGATAACCCTTTTCCTTAAGACAGCTTTTCAGAAACAATTAGTGGCAATTGTGCAACATCAACTTCGTCTCAGCAGATAATAATTGAGGTAAAACCTAAGTTAACCAAAAAGCTTAAAAGGAAATCTGGGGGTTCTGAGGCTGTGGCTTGGTGGTGGTGCATTTGCCTGGCATGTGTGAGGCACTGGGTTCATTTCTCAGCACTGCATATAAATAAATAAAAAATAGAGGTCTATCAACAATTAAATATATACACGTATATATTTATATGTGTGTGTGTATAAAAATCTGGGAAATTAATATCTATTGGTACTTTGACAATTCAGACATAGTCCTTGGAATCAGAGAGATGACTGCAGATTCATAGGACTGTGCACAGACTCAGGAAAGAGCTGAGAAGATGCTGAACTCATGAAAGAGCTCAGCAGATGCTGTCTGACTTTAAGGTGCTTCACAAGCAACATGTGAAGGCTAAGGGGAAGTTGTCATCTTCCTGGCTAAGTGTTTGTTGGGCTTCCTTTTTGAAATTTTATCTTTAATTTGGTATATAGGAAGATTTCTATTTCTGTTCTCATGGTTGTTTTTGTGCTTGTACCTTTTTTAATGCCCTTAATCCCCTCTTTTCAAAATTTGGCATCTGAATTATCTACTTTTAATGACATTTTTTATTATCACCTAAATATTAGTTAATGTATTTTGTCAGCTTTCCTTTTAACACCTCCATTTTCCAATTTTTAGTTGCATTATTTTTACTTCATCATAATAATTTAACATGACAGAACATTATCACATGTTATTCTACCCTGTCACCACCTTGGTTTTAATATTAGATTTGTGATTGAGAGTGTTAAATTCTAAATTTCTGTAAAGTATCCCTGGTCTTGTTTGGATGAAGTTAGTTTTCTAACAGATTTCTCAGAAAAGAACTCATGTTAAGAATTTTTTGAGCTCTTGGTGCTTAAAACATTCTCTGTAGTTTTGAAACATATAGAATTGTGGCTGAATCTTTGGATCATAGCTTCTCACCAATTCTACCCCTTTTCTTTGTGGCAGCTAAACCTCCCTTAAGTCTTTTTTTCAGAAGTTTCTTACTCCTCTTCCAGTTACAAAACCTAACTAATACTCTGGGCACAGTGAGCGAATCTTCACCTGCTTCCTGGGTGATGGTGTTTGATTTCCTTCCTGTGACATAAGGTTATTTTCAGTGGGTAGATTCCCGGAGGAATTTGTATATTTTGCAAAACATCCCCCTCCTCTCTTAGGCCTGCACCATCAAGGGAAGTTTTATTGGATCAGTTAAACTTTTTGTCCCAGCAGGTCAAATTCTAGGGGTTTTTTTGTATTATA